ACCTAGAATCCCCCCCTATCGGGAATGCTTATACTACTCTTGTCTGACCAGAATATCTTGAGTATTTTACGGAGACATCTTGTTTGGAAGGTGTCAGACCCATAGAGACGGACTCCAATGATATTTGCTTTAAATATCTTTATTGTGGTTTTGGTTCTGTTAGTTGAATATTTCTAGTTGTTCCATAAATGAGCAAAGGTGGTACGGCTTTTGCAATTTTATCTACAATGTCCAAGGTGGAATCTCCATTGGCTGCCAAGGTACATAAAATTGTCTACTTTTCTATTCTGTTGTTGTTTGCTGCGACTTCCTTATCTATCTTTGTATTTATCTTCATTAACTTTGTTTTGCTTACAATTATATTTAGTCCAATTTGCCTGCTATACTTGACCAGGTCATCAGTTATGCTCCTTAAATTCATATATCGCAGTGCTAGTAAAGCAATGTAATCTGCAAAGTCAAGATCTTCCAGTGACTGTTGAAATGTCTAAGAAATTCCCCCGTTAGCCTTACTAGTAGTGATTTTTTATAAGCCAGTCTATGCAGAAAGTAAAGAGCTATGGTGAAAGTTTGGATTCGGTCTGTTCTGTGCCGCAGATCACATTTGCCTGGAGAAACTTGTATATTGTCTGAATAATGGAAATGATTTTGTTAGGGTTGCCAAAATGTCCGAGGATTTTACAGCCTTGTGTTCCATTCATTGCTCTGTTCCAAAATTTTCCTCAAGGAAAATATCTGGTCTGTGTATGAGTTCCTAGGCAGAAATCTACTAGTCGTCTACCGTTATTGTTTATCACATGACAGCCATACTAGTATTTTCCCATTATGGTGTCTTCCTTCATTGATTGTGCCAACTTTTGCATTGAGATCACCAAGTATAAGTAGAACATCATGATCTGGTGTTTCCCCCGCACCTCTCTTCAATTCTTCATTAAAGGAATCAGTTTCTTCTTCGTCATTGTCTTTTGAAGGTGAGAAGCAGACTACAACAGTCAGCTTAGCATATTTTGAATGGAATTTTGCAGAAAGAAGTCTGTCGCTGTATGATTTCCAACCTAACACATCCTACCCTAGTTTCCTACTGAGTATTAAGCCTACTCCATTGCCGTGCTGTTCATCGTTTCTTCCCGAGTAAAGTATTGATAACCAGACAAAGTGTTTACGAGTCCCGTTTCACATGTACCTAGCATTTGGGTGTTATACCTGTCCATTTTAGGAAATGAGTCAATTTTTCTGTCTGGTAAAGCGTGCGGAATATTCCAGCAACCACATCTATATACATCTCTAGGATATGGAGAACGTCGTTCGTATACTAGTAACTATATGTAGAGTTGACGACCACATCAAGTGTTGTCCTCTTATCATGTTGTAAATTTTGCATTTACCTCCCCCTAGTAAATTCAAAATTTACAACATGATACTCTTCCAATATATAAGGTTTGAATAATTTTAAAAAAAGGTCTGCTAATAACGAGGCAAAATTAATATTTACGGGACTTCTGACAGATTGTTGCATTGGAAGACTTAGTCTCCAAAATCTACCCAAATATTGTCAGTTAGTAACTCAAGCATCATTTTAAAATCAACTTCAGAGTACTTGTGTATACAGCCAGAATGGTATTTTACTGAATAGAAGTTATAGTCCAGAATATGCATGTGACCTAAAAAGAACGATTGAAACTTCTTTTCCAATGGAAACTTACAGTTTCAAAATTTGAAAGCTGAAAAGTTGATATCACCTATTCGAATTCTAGTAGATGATGTCTCGCATAACTACCTGGAAGATTTTTTTCATAAGAAAAAGAGTAGATTATGACTAATACTTAGACAGAAAACAGTTGAAAATCAATTGTGTTACCAAATTGCAAGCTTAAATCTCTGGGTATGTTGCCTTTAGGATACTGGGTCGAAAAAGGACGGATATATCAAAACTTGAATGCAATCTCGGGGACGTAAATAAATGTGTGCATTATTGAAGGGTTTTGGCATTCATTCATATTCAAGTGTGCAATAGAGGGCTGCATTTCCTGTTGAGGAGTGGAGAACTGAAATCATTCACAAATCCTGAAGTACATCCAAACAAAACATAACCCTGTGTCCTTCTAACGCGGACTTCCCTGGGCAAAGGCAAAAGTAGCATTATAAATTGAAAATTATTGTTGCTAAAAAATGCAGATTAAATTTCGTAAATTCACAAATCTAAATGATGTATTTGGTCGAAGCTGATCCCCAGTCTCAATGTAATCGTGAGAAAAGATTTGTTTCCGTGTGTGTTTGTGTTAAATTGGTCAGGAAACTTAATTTCTATATATAAAGGTTGACTTTCAGCCTTGTAGCTGAGATGGGAAAGGATGTCAACATACTCGTGGGTAAGTCATTCTTCTGTCGGAGTATGCTAGATGGTAGTGAGACGGGGTCTTAAAGTCGAAAAGACTCTATTGTGCTGAATTACCCCTTAAATTAAAGATGTTGATTATTTCTTCAAAGTTTTGCATATTCTCTTTGGTAATGTGTCGATATGTGGCTCATTTCTTTGAAGCACAGATCTAAATATTTTTGCCATCTGGCGCAATACGAAATGATTGCAATTCGAATTTTGGCATTCAAAATTGGGTCAATTTTTTAAGGAAATTTGTGTCAGATAATTCAATGAAAACCATGCTTGTTTTTGTTAAATTGCTGTGAAAATAATAAAAATTTATTTTTGACACCATGCTTCAAATGAATTGAACATATTTTATTGACAAATGAAGACAAATGGATCGGGCACAATTAGTTCAGTAACTTAGATAGTCCTCTCCTAATACATTTTGTAAAATTGCCCCCCCCCCAAAAAAAAAAAAACATAAATACATATGGTCTACTACATACAGTGTATACATCGTAGTGTAGAAAGGGAAAAAAATAAATTCTTTAAATGTATGAATTATGTTCAAAAATCTTTTTCCATAAGAAAAATATTTCTGAGGTTTGCAGATATTTTTTAAAAATTTTGATAGAAGTTGCCTCCCTTGTTTTAAGACTAAGGGAATTCCACTTTCTAACAGTATCTTCAATGCTTCAATTAACAATGAAGATCTTTATCCTGTGCCAGTGGAGAACTCAGATCCGTAATGCTTGACCTTACGTTTATCTGATTGGCAAAACATATGAAGTTAAGTTGGAAATATTGACTTATTGTATTGCGCATTTCACTAAAATATTCGGTGATTTGCAAAATCATTTTGTTAAAACATTCTGATTGTACACAAAAGTATTCTCAAGTTTCTATTCAAAAGATGCTTTGAGTTTCAAATTGACTACAATTGTGTGGTTTTGGGAGATCAGGTCTTCCAACAATCTGTTAGAATTCCCATCGGTTCCAGTTGCGCCCCGTTATTAACAGGCCTATTTGTGTATTCACATGAAGCAGAATTTATTCAAGGTCTAATATATGAGAAGAAAAAAACCACTTGGGTTGACCTTTTACTCGATATCTAAATGAAGGATATGTAGATAACGAACTGTATTCAATATCAAAGTCCATAAAAATAATACAAAAAATACGAACCTCAAAAACATCCGAGGTGGGATCAGGTGCCATGGAGGAGTGGGCATCCCCTGCCGACCGGTCACACCCACCGTGTGCTCCTAATCCGGAAATAACGGAAAAATCCGTTGTCAATTCAGTCCATAAATAATGGACTAACAATTTGTATGAAAAACGTCAGTCAGCATTTGACTCAATGATAAATTGTATTTGCTGACAAGGTCATGGTATCGACCACAGAACTTACGAAATGATGACTTTAAACGAGACTGCTTATAGTCTTGTATCATCAATTTGTTTTTCAATAATTTACCTCGTTTTAAAAATTGTTCATACGTCGAGCATGCTCTTGAGTATCGAATCAACTGAGATATATAAACGTCGTATGCAGCTGATGAAGGTATATTGCTGCATAGGTGAGTGAAGTTGACGAAAGAAAAGTTAAAGTCATCACGTTTATCATAAATCTTGGTTGTTAGATTACTTAACGTCTTTTTCAAGTAAAATATCCAAGTATGAAACAGATGTGTCAGACTCTGTGGTATCTTTTATCTCAAGCTCACCATATATTGATAATGTATTATCAATTATAAAGAACTATATGCGGTATATTGCATATGTTTGCCCCCACAAAAGTCAAATTTTGAAAACTTCCTGAAATGTGCTGAATTCAATAAATTGTACGAGAAATATAAGTTAACAGAAAATAATATAGTTCCAGAGCAGTGTATTCACAATTTCTGTTTTTATGACGTCACAAACTAGTCCGATTTTATATCCTTTTTCAGAAAGAGGACAAAATGGACAAAATTTCAACAATTTAAGCTTTAGAATTTATAGAGCGCATGTGTGTTCAGGAACAATATTGACATATTTCATTGATATTATCATTCTACACATTATATCAAAATATTTATCCTGAACACACATGCGCTCGGTGACTTTTATTTAAAATATCGACGAAATATGTATATTTTTCTGCAAAATTCATAAAAAACTGAAATTACGTCATATTTGTGACGTCATTACGTACATATGACGTCATTACTTATGAAATTATTCAGTGCTTTGAAGTCAGCATATACTCCCCTGTTTAAGGACTTAATTAAATATTACTCCATCAAAGTTTGATTTTGGGGGGCAAATGTTGGTTAATACCGCATATAGTTCTTTGCTATTTCCATCCATATGTCGATTCGATATCCCAGTGAACTTAGAGTAAAAAATTCAACAGTCCGGTACAACTGTTTCATATTTGGAACCAAGTATTTTACTAGGGAAAAAGAGTTGATAAGGATAATCTAGCAAGAAAACTTTATGATTAATGATTAATGTTTTAATTGACGATTAACGTTTCAATCGTCAATTTCCTTTATTTATGACATACGAGTTGATGGAACAGGGATATCAACAATCTTGTATGAAGTCATAATTTGGCAAACTTTATAAACAAAACAAATGACCACATCAGCAAATACAACCAATCATTAGATCAAATGCTGACTTTTTCATATTTATTATTGGACCATTTTTCCCTCTCTGGGGATTCCCTGGGGATTCTACGGATTTTCCCGTTTACCCAATCATGACAAGGAGCAAACGGCAGGTGTGACCAGTCGTCAGGGGAAGCTTACTCCTTCGGGGTACCTGATCCTACCTCTTATATTTTAGAATTCTGTGTTTGTTCTGCACCTGATCATTTGGATGGACTTTTGAGCTTGAATACATATTGTTCGTTATGCCCCTGTATGATTGTTTTAAATGTACTTTGCAGGCGTCATTGTTGGAATTGCCGTTATTTTGTTGGGTATTGCAGTAGTGGTTGCTTGCTCATTTTTCTGCTTCCGGAAATGGAGGTAATACAATAATCACAAACAAAATTAAAAGTTTGCCTCATTTATTATGCCTCATATAATAGAAAGACCCTTGACAAAAATTAAGTGCTTTCTGTCTAGTACGTAACTGGGATGATTCTGTACGCATTTTAATGAAAATTGACCTTTTTCAGAAAGAAGAAGTTCCCGATCACACTCACCGCTTTTTATCGGAGCAGGTCCTATGATGAAGAGGTTCCACCGACCCCAAGTAGCATCCAATCAGAATCCGTGTATTCCTTCGCAACGCCCTCTATAGCGACAGACGGGGTTAACCCGTCAGATACAATAGAATTTTCTTACGATAAAGCTGACAGTCCTTATATAGAATTACCAGCTGATCCTAACGCAGAAAGTAAAGAGAACAGAGAAAAATTACGTTTCTTAGACCCGAAGCGCTCGAAATCTTGGAAAAGTGGTTGGATAGATCGGGTCACCCATATGATTGAAGCCACTGAAACTTATTCCAGGGCTGCCATCCGAAGGTTATCTGAAATTGTTTCAGATTCAGGGGAAAACTGTGATAGTGAGGCGTTAGATGAGACAAAACTGCCGACAGAGGGTATGTCGGAAAACCCTGTGGTCGATGTACCAACAGGAAATGATATCTACGCACGCGTGAAAAAATGACAAAAACCTTTCGTCACTGGGTTCAGTCGTTGGAGCGCCATTAATTTAACCATATTTTTCTCTCAAGAAAATTCATTACTGCATGGTTGTTCTACTGAAAGCACAATTATTTCCATTTTTATAGAATTCATGTAATATGTTTCATTTGATATTCCTACGTTGTGTTGTGAGTGTTCGCGTCATTTCTGACACATTTTAAAATTCGTCCTTTTTATTTGATTTTTTTATTTCATTACATGGATACATTTTCCCGGTATATCACAGTATAGAATCTAGGTCATGATCATGGAAGAAACAATGAAAGAATATCCATTTATTGATCGTGCCAGTTTCTGGCGGCTCCTATATTGGAACTGTATATATTGTTGTTGCAAGTTGACTATATTTTTGTTATTCATAGTCATGAAATAATAATTAAAGATAAAGCGGATAAATGTGAGCATTATTCTGGGTTTTACGTGGATTAGTTGCTATACGATATGTTAATTATACAAGGAAATAAAGGGTCTCTTTGTTCCTGTTTATATCAAAGTGCGAATTAGACTTCTATAATTAGTACTAATTTTGTAGGAAATTGGCAATCCTTTTCGTATTAATTTCAATTTATGTTCATTAAATCACAATTTTAAAAGTTGTTTGAATCGAGACCAGTAGTCAACTAAAATGTTCGCTCGTGTCATTATGAAAACAAGCAGGGGGGGGGACTCAAGCAAAAGGGGGGGGGGGGGGCTCAAAAGTCCATTCAAACAAAACTAATCGGTACCAGAGCAAGCATGGACATTTTAAACATCAGAAGTGTGATTAGGTGCCATGGCGTAGTATGCTCTTTGTCGTGATCCTAGACAATTCAATTAATCTGAAAAACGTCAGTTGGCATTTGACGTAATGATAGATTGTACATTTGCTGACAAAATCACAAAGTCATTGAATCGACCATAGAACTTGCGAAATGATGACTTTGAACGAGTCTGATGATGTTTTTGTTTTCTCAACTTGTCTGTCAATAGGCTGCCTCGTTTACAGATATATGTATATTCAGTACTGCGTATTAATATTAAACAAAACATTCAATTAATCTAAAACACCAGTCATAAATCAAATAATCTTCTAACTGTAGTTTATTATTTTCATTATTTTAATTTAAATTGAAGGACTGTATCTTTGTGTTAGGGCAAGTTTTGGGAAATACTAGAAATATACACATGCAGTATTTTTGGTAATTATAGCTTTGTACTCATGGTACCTTGCCTAGGGAGCATGAAGCTATAAGCTACCCAAAGATTAGTTGATGTTATAGAGATTTCATCAATTAACATTGTATAAATTCTATAGTCGTTATTTTGTCTTTTTAAACAAAAATAATAGTAAACGATCAATTGGGTGGTATTTTAGCTGACTTGTTTAAAAACAATAGTTAGACCTTTGATTTAGTAATGAACAGTGAACTTGACTACTTGTTCAATATGTGGGACTCATTGCAAGTGTGACCGGTCAACAGGGAATGTTTACCATTCCTAGATCCCAATTCTGGTATTTCCTGGGGTCCTGTTCACAAGTTAGGTGCCTAGGACGAGCATGCATCCTCTGTCGCCTTGTTACACTCGCACTGAGCCACGGGATACAGTATAATACACTAGTCTAACATTTGATAGGAAGCCTGTCAGTCAAAATACGATCTAAAGAAATACGTCGTATTTGGAACAAATCGTTGCAACAGGATCGAAATGCACTGGGGAGAGTTATAATGTGGACTCACCGTGGCTTGAGATGATGTTCCAAACGATGTTATTATAAAAACCATGGCATTTGAAAATTTTGCTGCTCAAAAGCTTTAAATTGGCAACAAGTTAAGATCAATTATTCTACATAAAGGACAAAAGATCATTTCATTCATATTCATCATTCATGCATTTGTCAGTGTTGGACTTATTGCTTTCATATGTGGGGTGAATCTGTTTTAGCCTGAAAACTCATCCGAAATGAGTCTCATACAAAGGAAGGTAAACACTTTTACTTCGTTCGGCTATGATTAATTAATACTAAAATGATTTAAATACTGGTATGATTTGAAAATTATATATAATTGCGTGATCACTCGTGGAAAAATGTCGGCCTAAATTGGTGCCGTGACCAGGATAGAAATTAAAACAAATAATAAACGATTAAAAACATAAAATTAAAAAAATCTTTTTAAAATAAGATAGAATTGAGTTCTTTAATTTATTGAAACTTAGGATGAGATTCAATAATAATAATATTATAACATAAAAGCAAATATTGTCAGAGGTTCATGAGTTGTTACCCTTTAATGATAGTTACCGTTTTGTAAATAAATTTGAAATACTGTTACACCTACATGATAAGCAATATAAGAAGATTAACTTCCAATATGTGTTCGAGAAAATTGAAGGGTATTAATCGTATAGGAGAGGAACAAGCAAAAAAAGTTCGTCAAAAGAAAGAGAAATACGCGAATACAGTTATGAACGAATTATTGAAAACGAAAATCCGGAAGTTGGCGGTCATGGCGGCAAATAAAGTAAAGCTGATTTAGATTTTATTATTTTTTCCCAAATATTTAACATGTTTTGAATTATACTTTTTTGGTAAATATTAAAGTTGATGATGAACAAGTATACAATCTTTATGAGGAACTGTCATGAAATAATATTTGGTAAAAAACTGAATTTTAAGTGACTTTGAAATACCGTCTGCGATGTTGTGTACTATTGCATTCTTTTACTTCAGGAAGCCATAGCGATTGTGCTGGACATTGGTCCTTCTATGAATAATGCACCCCCGGGTGAGGAGACGCCATTGCAGACAGCGGTGGATGCCATCAAGATGATACTACAGAGGAAGGTTGTCTTTGTGTTTGTTGTAAACATTATCCTCGAGTGGCCATAAATCCGGCAGTGAATCGTCAGTCAATGTTGACGATATGTTGCCAAGTTTTATGTTGCAAATTTAAACCGGTCATTTGACTCCAAAGAAAAAAAATGGATCGTTTGTAAATTCGATTTTTTTCATTTGAAAAGTTAAATGAAAAAAACCCCCAAACATTTTAATGGGATGTAGGTCACTAGGTGATGGAATTTACATGCATGTATCATGTGTATCTAATTAAAATCTTAGTCTTAGTTAGAATAATCTAACTGTGTCTCAGGAAAGCCCTATCAACAGTTAGAATGCCTCCTATATACTTGCAATGTAGCAAAAAATTGCAAAATCACTCCAAAATGATTTTGAAGAATAATAGCTGTAGATCTGTAGTTCACTGACCTGAAAAAAAGATGGGATGGACAACCAGAAAAGCTACATTTCCACCCATAGAAAAAAAAATCCTGTATATTTATTGCGCAAAAAAGTTGCACTCAGTTCTGGATTAATTACTGTACATTCTGACTTCAATTGTAAAAAAAAAAAATAGATATCAATAAATTCCTTACTCCTCTATGAAGTATACTGTCATATTGAAAGTTTTGTTGTGGAAACAATGAAAAAATGTGTAAGGATCACGGTTAGTAATATATTGAGCTGAAAGTCTTAAAATCATAGAGAAATGAATTGACAAACAGCGACCTTTTTGTTGTGTGCAATAAATATACACTTTTTTCAATGGGTGGCACTGTAGCTCCCCAGTCTGTCAATATATATTTTTTTGGGAGAGCTACAGTTCTGCAGCTAGAAGAAAACAAAAGGATTTGCACTGAAAATAGCTACCAAATTAAAAACATCTTAAAAGTCTTTTTGAGGTCGTGTATGCCCTTTAACCTAAAAAAAAAATCCATCTAAAGATGAAAATTTAACAATCTTTCAATTTTTTTTTCTCGCTTCAAATTTACACACCTGTTTACGTTCAGAACTCTCTGTATTGTTCATAGAATATGCACTGAGTTAGAGTTATCCCCCATTTCTTCTTTACTACATTGCTAATACACAGAATTAATTTATTTGTTAAACCTGGTTCATAGGACATTTAATGATTTCTCATTTTAACTATAAAACATTCTATCTAGTAATTAAAACCCAGAACTGCTTTTAAATGATTGAAACACAGACCTATAGTCAAGGAATTGCATTCCTATTGGAAGGATGGCAGTTGGTATATTTTTTGTAGTTATTTTTTCAGATATTTATTCCCATAGCTTTTATATATTGCAAAGAAATCATTACTGTATACAGGGAAATTTTCGCCCCCGTTTTATTTTCGCTCCTTTTGCCCTACCCTCATTTTGGCGAATTTAAAACGGGCGAATTCAAAGAATACAGTATATTTTCTTAAACAAAACTACGACAGGGCGAATTTAAAACGGGGCAAAATTGTTTGCAAGAGTGAAAGGGCGAAAATAAGACGGGGCGAAAATATCCCTGTATACAGTATTTCTACAAGAAAATTGAATGTTTTTATATCTTTTCAGATGTTTTCAGAATCCAAAGATGAAGTCAGTCTGGTTTTGTTTGGGACGCCAACCACTGATAACCCACTGGCTGACGGTGAAAGCTACGAGAATATCAGCATCGTACGGCCCCTTGGAGTGGTCGACTTCGACTTCCTTCAGCAGGTTCAGAATGACATAACGCCCAGCAATATGTCGGCAGATTGTATCCTTTTGTTGATAACTCTAATGATAAAAAAAATTCAGAAGAGATATATTTTGCAAAAAAGTGAAAGGTTACAAGACACTTATTTCCTTTGTCTATTAAGCATATACTTTCCCTTAATTTTGTTCAGTTATTGATGCACTAGTGGTTGCCATGGATCATCTGGTGAATGCAACACAGTACGTAAATATTACACTCTTAATGAATACATCTTGTAATCATGGTACTCTATTTCATTCACATACTGTAAATGTATTATATTTAGCTTGTACAATATTTTGCGGAAATTGATTTTTGAACAAGTTAGCATAGTTTGATTTAGCGCATTTCTCAATGATCTTATTTATGTGTCTATGTGCATGACATTTAGCGATGTACTTGAATTATCGGACGTTCCTCTCCACCAAAAGTTCTAAAAAGAATACACAGCCAAATCTAAAATGTTTACAGTATTTACAATATGAAAAAGATGAAATTGTTGATACGCTGTGCATAGTGCTCACTCAGTCCATGTGTCTGCCCGACAGAAATCGATGAAAAAATCATTTACAGGTGGATTTTTTAAAATCAAGCATTCTTATTAATTTTATGTCTACTCAACATGAATAG